TTAAGTTGACCTCACGTAATATAGCCACCAAGTGAAAAAGGGAAGGGGAGCAGAAGTGGTGCACTTGCTTCATTATAAACCCTTTGCAATATTTTCCTTTTAGCAACATGGATTAAGGAAAAAGAAACAAAAAAGCTTTAAAACTCAATTTTCAGCTGGGTGTGGTGGCCCACATGTCAGAGGAGCACTCTACAAGGCTGAGGCAGGAGGTTCACAAGTTTGAGCCTAGCCTGGGCAACTTAGTAAGACTCTGATCTCAAAATAAAAATTAAAAACGGATGGGCCAGGCATGGTGGCGCATGCCTGTAATCCCAGCACTTGGGAGGCTAAGGCAGGAGGATCGCTATGAGTTCGAGACCAGCCTAGGCTACATAGTGAGTTCCAATCAGTCTCAACTACATAGTGAGACCCTGTCTCAAAAAACAAAAAACAAAAACAACAACAACAAAAAAAACGGAATGGGGGGGTGCCTGGAGATTTAGCTCAGTGGTTCTACCACCTACCTCACAAGCACAAGGTCCCAAGTTCGATCCCTGGTACCCACCCCAAAAAAAGGACTGAGAATGTAGCTCAGAGCAAAGGCTCTGGGTTCAGGCCCCAGTACCAAAAGGTAAGGGAGTACCTAAAATATATCCCATCACTTTTCAGGGAGGAAAGGGAGAATAAGGCAGACTCGCAGTGTCCTGAGTGCTACAAACTCCTCTTCCTGGCATCATGTAGACTAGGAGAAAGGCAGGTGCCACGAGACTGGAAGGCATTTCAGGTGTCCTTCACACAGAGGCCATCTGCCAGGACTCCTCAATCTGTACTGCACCAGCCCACACCCACAGCTCCCGCAAGGCCCAGGCTTGCATTAGGGGGAGGCCAGGCGTGGATGAGTCAGGAGGCCCCTCTGTCCCGTGTCAGCTATCAACTCAGGGTTCTGGTTTGGTGTTTGTTTTTTCTGGAGTCATGTTCTGTTGTGGTCCAGGCTGGCCTCAAATTCATGATCCTCCTGCTTCTTCTGCTCCCCAGTGGTGGGATCACGGGCGTATGCCACCGTGTCTGGTTCAACCCAGAGTTTTCAAAATTTCCCATGAGTATTCCAGAAATTTAGCTAAGTGTTGAAAACCTAAAAGAAACCATTTGAGGGCCAGGGATTTAGCTCAGTGGTTCCGCTGCCTGCCTCACAAACACAAGGACCAGAGTTCGAACCCCGGTACCAAAAAAAAAAAAAGAAAGAAACCATTTGAGCTGGGGATGGTGGTACAAGCCTGTGATCTCCACTACTCAAAAGGCTGAGCAGGAGGATCTAGGCTAAGAATGTCAGCAATTGAGCATGAATCGGTCTCAAAGTGTTTTAAAAGGGCTGGGGGAACAAGTATGGTGGTGCATGCCTATAACCCCAGTACTCAGGAGGCTGAGGCAGGACTGCTCCAAGTTCAAGGCCAGCCAAGGTTACATAGTGAGTGAGTCCAAGGCCAGTGTGAACTGCATTGTGAGACCTAACAAAAATGGGCTGAGGCATATAGCTCAGTGTGAAGGCTCTGGATTCAATCCCCAGTACAACAAATTAAAAATTAAAAGGGTGGAGCCATGAATCAGTTGCAGTTGCCCACTCTGTACAAGGGCTGTGCTTTAATCCCTAGTACTAAAAGCAAAAAACAATTGGAACTGTCTCCACTAGTGAAAACTATCCTTAACTGTAAAAAAAAAAAAAAGTTCTAAGGTGAGACAGGTTTTAAAACTTTGTGAACTAACTTTATTTTGCATTTACAGACCTGTTAAGTTTTGAAGAGTCTGTGTAACATAGTTAATGAAAGTAACCAAGTGTTCTGGCAGAACCTAAAATCTGGGGCTCTGCTCAGGCTTCCAGGCACCTGGGCCTGGGCCTCCCCAGGCTCTAACACAGAGTACACCCCCCAGCCCAGAACACATCTAGGGGACGGCACAAGGATCCTCTCTGGAGTTCCTGACACACAGGCCAGCCAGCATCCAAGCTCAGCGTCAGGTGTGCACTGTACCAGCATGCACATGAGGACAGGGGAAACACCACAAGGGCAGGATGAAGGGCAAAGTTGGGGCTGAGGGAGGTGTGCTACACGAAAGGACAGCACAAGCAGAAGCTTATTTCTTAAATCTAACGAACTACAAAAAACAAAACATAAACTCTTGGGGCTGGGGATTTAGCTCAGTGGCACCACACAACCACAAGGTCCAGAATTCAATCTCCAGTATAGCAAAAAATAATGAATTAAAAACCAAGCAAGAACACAAAACCCTGGCTAGGCCTGATGCCTCACCCCTGTAATCCCATCACTTGGGAGGCTGAGGCAGGAGGATCACTACAAGTTTAAGGCCAGCCTGGGCTACAAAATGAGTTCAAGGCCAGCCTGAAATAGTGAGACCCTGTCTCCAAAACACAAAACCACCACCACAAAATCCCTTTTGGGACATGTGCTGCATGTTCACAGAATCTTTTCACCAGTCCCCATGATTTCTGGGAAGCACAGGCCCACAAGGGACCTGTAATTCTCGTGGCATTTGCTGGGGGTACGAGGGATCAAACTCAGGTCCTTGCACTTGTAAGGCAGGCAGGAGAACCAGAGCTAAATCCCCAACCCTTTCCAGTACTTTGTTTCGTTTTGGTTTTTTGAGACAGGGTCTCACTATGTAGTCGAGACTGACCTGGAACTATGTAGCCCAGGCTGGTCTCAAACTCACAGCAATCCTCCTGCCTCAGCCTCCCAAGTACTGGAATTACATGTGTGCCACCATGCCCGGCTCATGACATTTTATTAAGTGAATCAGATAAGACAAACAGCAAGGCTTACAGTACAGGAAGGTCACAGGGCCCAAGCAAATTCAGGGCCAGGAATTTAGCTCAGTGGCACTGCACCTAACTGGCAAGTACAAGGTCCTGAGTTCAATCTCCAACACACAAAAGAATCCAAAACTTAACCTTAAAAGTGTGATGCATTTACCAGAGATCAAACTTGACACCTTCTACTTCTGGTGCAGGTAGCAGAACCACTAAGCTAAACCCCCAGCCCAGTATGATGCATTCTTGAAGAACTAGTCATATAAACAATATAGTGGTTTATCCAAAAATGCTATGCCAGGTGTAGTGGCCCACAACTGAATGACTGACCTAATTGTAGTGGAGAAGCCTGTTGTGCAACCAGAACCAGCCCAGGGCCACAGAGTTCTTGGCGCCCCGTGTACATCCAATCTTCTAAATAGCTAGTACTCTTTTTACTTTCCCACTAGACCCTAGCACATGACTTGTGGGAGGCTGGCCATTTGCCTTTATGGAGCTGTCGGGAACCTCAGCAGTGTTAACTGCACATAGGTAGTGACCCTCCATTGAGACCTCAGACAAAATGGACTGGAGCATGAGGGCAGATGAACATCTAATACATGGAACACTCCTAATGGTTGTTTTTGGTATCAGGGATCGAACTCGGGTCCTTGCGTTTGCAAGGCAGGCAGTGGAACCACTGAGCTAAATCCCCAGCCAGAAAACTCCTAATGGGATTAAGGCTCTGGGGACAACCGGAGAGAGGTCACCCTAGCAATCGGGGAGCCTGAGAAAGGAGGACAGCAAGGTCAAACCAAGCCTGGGCAGCGTATCAAGATCGTGTTTCAAAAATAAAAAGGGCAGGAGATGTAGCTCAAGACCCAGGGTTCAATACCCAGTACAGTACTGAAATCAACCAATCCCAATCCTCAAACTGGTGCCTTATTTACCTGAACGCTGTGTAACTCAGCTTCTTTTCAACACATCTTTCCCAAATTCAAGGCAAAATTTACTAATCCCAGGCCTACAATTGAGAAGAAAGCATGCACATTGAAACTGCCATAGAGGGATGGTCTCAGACCCGCAATACCAACTACTAGCGAGGCTACAAAAGGATTGAGTTTGAGCCCAGCCTGGTTAATACAGTGAAAAATCCACTAAAGAAAGCAAACAAAAAATGAAAACCCCCAAACAAGAACCAAAATAAAGCTGTTAGCCAGGCGTGGTGGCGCAGGCCTGTAATCCCAGCACTTGGGAGGCTGAGGCAGGAGGATTCACTGAGTTCCAGACCAGCCTGGACTACACAGTGAGTTCCAGGTCAGTCTCAACTACATAGTGAGACCCTGTCTCAAAAAACTAAAACAAAACAAAACAAAACAAAACAAAATAAAGCTGTTACATGGACCAGAGGTATGTTAGTAATTTATGATGTAAATCTGGTGAACTATTTACTACCTGCACCTCCAAAAAGACAGGCTTTAGATTATATCCACTGGTGGCAGTGGGTCATCTGGGGGAACAACTTTAGAAAGCATCACAAAGATATTTCCAAGGGCTGGAGATTTAACTCAGTGGTTCCGCCACCTGCCTCACAAGTGCAAGGACCAAAGTTCAATTCCCCGTACCAAAAAAAAAAAAAAACAAAACAAAACAAAAAAACACGTATTTCCAATTCCAGAAAATTGTGGCTTGATATTTGCACCAATAATAAACAAAGGCATCATGCTTTTTCACAATTTTATTTCAACATAACTATGCTTACAGAAATACACTCATATTGGTTAAGAGCAATTTTAATGCAATTTAACTTATCCTACACAATTTCAACCAAAAAGTTGGTACATGGTTTAAGATTTTTAAAAGAATTTGCAATCTGGTTTATTTTTTTCTATTACAAATGTATAAAAGATCCATCAAATGCTGCTAAAGAAGGCAGCAAAAACCTTGAGAAATATACCTTTGGTTTGCCTCAGAAAAGTAACAAGTATTGCACTGTAAAGTTTATAAAATTGGTGCAACAAAACATTGTCGTAATGTTACAATGCCAGTTTACAAAGTTCAGTAACTAATGGGTGTGGGGGAGCCTATGTACACACATGGAACTGTAAAAGCTGTCCGCTTTTCTAATAATAGTAATGTAGATTGTAAATCTACACGGACCAAGATTCAGGTAATTCTTAAATCTGAATTAACACTATCAGCTCACTTCATCTGCTGAAGTCGGTAAGAATTCAGCACATTTAGTTTCTTAAATTTTCCTAATCTATGCCAAGAAGAAAATTAAGTTTCCTCCCCAGCTTTTCAGCCCAGAAGTGGCGCGTTCTACAGACTAGGCATTCCTCATGTGGTCAGTATTCGGGGTGCCACGCGGAGAGGTCAGCTCGGGTTGTAATTTGTATCTGCACTCGTATGCAAACGGTCCCCAAAGTTAGCGAGCACGTGACTTTAGAAGTGACCCTAAACATAAAATGGCCCTTCTTGGAAGACTAGAGCAAACATCAGCCATAGCTGTAAGAAGCCTTATCAAAACAATGCAGCCTCTTACGAGTTAAGCCTCAACAATAAAAAAGGAAGCCCCCAAGTATGAAGCAGCTCTGAAAAAAGGGAAAAATATAACTTAAAATATCTTGAAATCCAATGTGAATATAGGTTCAAAAAATAAGATATTTTCATAAAACTACCTAGGATTAGGCTTATAATATATTCTCTAGTATTTCAAGTTTATCGCTAGTTACTAAATATCAATTTACAAAGAGCATGTTCATTTTTTTGTTCTTTTATCAAAAGGGAAATTCTAGCTTCAATTCTAACGAAGGGGGACTAGAAAATAAAAAGATTCAAATAGTTCCATGCAAACATATTTTGCAAATGGAAGAACTCCCAACTGGACCAGAAGTTCTGATTACTAATATATTTTCATTGAAACAATTTTCAGTACGTATAAATACATGGCATAAAGGTTCAGGACCTAATATAGGGCCTGAGAATCAAGTCCTTGTTTTCTGGAAGAAAGGCCTCAAGTTCCAATTAATTTCCAGTAACAATGTTTTTACAGATCAACTCAACAAGGGGTTTTAATTTCCTTCACAGTTTTTAGCATTCTAGTCTTAAAGACTAGATTAGGAATCTGTTCAATTCACCAAAAAGCAAATTTCTTTCCTTTGCACTATGAAAGAATCCAAAGACCTCTTCCCCAAACAGATTCCCAGTGTCCAGTCTGTGCTTAAAATGAATCTTTTTCAATATAATGTAAAAGGTGAGTTAGATAAAATATGCTCATGAACATTAAAACTAGTCATTAGAAAGATTTAACTAGCTTTATAATTTAACTTTTAAAACATAAATATTTGCAGCTTGATCTCCTGCTGACAATGATTGTCGGAGCCTAGAATTCAACATTTACAAATTCTCATTCATGCACACAGAACACACACCATCATCACACAACTTACTCCTCATGTCTTGAGAGAATCTTCTGCTTCTTTAAATCTTTGGCCTCCGAGTCAATTCCAAGTTCAAATACCTTTTAACTGAAAATTCACTCAGATTTTAACATCTTACACATTAATGCTTATCCTGATCTTTCGTATTGTACTGTCAAAATCTGAAACCTGCCTCAAAGAGATCCCCAGGTAAAGGACAATAAATGAAATGTAAAGGGTTACTTTCAGAACATGGGAGATCAGAATTCAAGATACTCTCATTAGGATCATATTTTACTTACTGCAGTGAACATCTCTAACATAAAATATCCTATGTTGGATTCTTTCACTTTGGCAAGTGGCCAAAGAACCTATAAAAATTTTGGAGTACACACCCCTTTCTATACAAAGTGCTCCTCTAGGAACACTAGGATAGCTGCAGTTTACTTGAGGTCTCACCTGTAGAAAGTGGCTGTCACAGGAACAGCCAGGACACCCACTAGTGTGTGGAGATCCCTGAGCAAGTACAACTTAAATCTGGACTGTATGTAAATTCAAAAGCCATTTTCACGGTATTCACAGGAAGGTGCAGCTGGCTTGCCAGAATTCATACACCTCTCACTATAGATGCATGGTGTGAATAGCTGTGGCTTTGGATTCTCACAAGTGACCCTCTGTAAAACTTGAATAATTAGGTCTCCCAGTTCCAGGTTTGCAAGCCCCAATTATCACCTACAGCTTTTCATTCAATTGAATAGCCACAAGGATACAAACTATGCGTAAGAAAAGGTTTCCCCTAAGGATATGATGTAACACTACAATTACAAATTAGCTATACCAGAACAGGCAAAAATATTGGTATTTGAAATTAAAATTTGTTCAGTATGAAACCTAGTGGTTTATTACAAAATCATAACAGAGCTATGAGTTTACTATATTCATTCATAATAAATAAATTATACAAAACAAATTCTGGCATAGATAAGTGAAAATCAAAAATCAATGAACTGAACCTGCATGTTTCATCTGCTCACAAACTTGCACACACTACTATTCTGCTTAAAAGACAATTGCAGCAAAGAAAAAGACAATTGCCACTTTACAAACAAGCCTAGAAGCATCCCATCAAAGAGGCCAAATAAACATGCATATATGTATAAAGTGTTACTGGTCAACACAAATGCTACTACTTCTAAAGAAAATTTAACTGCATAGGTTAAAGAAAAAAAAAACAATGTGCAACATTTTAAGCCATTAAAGCACCAAAATTTAAAAAAAAAACAAAAAAACACCAAAATCACTGTTTTATGAAGTTTAACACTCAAACATGAAATATTGATCAAAAATCAGGAAGTAAATACCTGGACTGATACAATGTCCATTGTTGGGAGAATTTTTCTTCAGTTTAAATGTCTTTTCTTATCTCTAAAGAAATCTTAAAGTGCTAACTTTATATAAAGCAGGCAAATTCAAGTAATTTGCTATTAAGCCAATTTTTATAGAGCTAAACAAGGTACTAATGATAAACTAAGATGAAACAGAAGACAGAGAAGGAAAAAAAACTGATGAGTTGTAGCTGGGAAGAGCAATAGATGCATTATGCCATCTGGGCCTTCTCATTTCCAGTGAACACATTAGCTAAGAGATTCAGGTCCGCTCGTTTTAGTACAATAACTCCCGTGGATTTTGGGGTTTACTAAAATTTGTACATCAACAGCACACAAAAGCCCTAAGGAAAAGAATGCCACTTAAAAAGATCAACACTGGACACTAATTAAAGCAATCTTAAAAAGTTGTCTACCACTATAAATGAATATAAAAATGTAATAGCTCTCACAAACTAAAAACTGTAACCTTGTCCAAAGTTTAATTACTCCTGCCCTTTAGCTGCTTTTTCAAGGAAGTACACATTAACTAAATGGCGATTGAGGTGTTTGCTGTAATCTTTTTCCTTTCTAAAAGAGCGATCACAGAAGATACAAACAAAATCCCCCTCAGCCACTTTGACCGCCAGGGCTTCCTTTGCATTTTTGGCACTGCTTTCTTGGGGAACCGGCCTAGCCCCATGCAATCCAGAATCATCACTGCCCTCTGACATGTTGTCACTGAGGTCACTTCCATCATGGCTGTGGATGCCTTCATCTTCATCAATTTCCTGAGACTCATTTTCTGTCACGCTAACAGGAGCAGGAGCCGCAGCCAGAGCGGTTTTGCCCACTGCTTCTTGTTCTGCTGGTGGTGGAGAGAAAAGTGATGGCGAAGCTGGTTCTTCAGCTGCAGCACCTTTAGCTGGGAGATTCTCTGTTGTACTCTCCTCAGTGACTGTTTCCATTTCACAAGGCTCAACTGAACGAATCTGACATTCACCATCTGAAGTTCCACCCTCTGGTGTGCTCAGTTTAGGGACTGAAGCTGCAACACCAGAAGATTCCTCGCCGGTAGTTCCAACAGCTCTGCTCTCATCTGCCTCTTCTGCTCCCTCTTTCTGCAGGGGCCCCTCTGTATTTCCTGCACCTTTAGAGAGTTCGTTTTGGTCTACTGATTCCTCCTCCCCTTCCTTTGGCAGTGGTGATGGTGCTGACAGGGCCTGTGTGTCTGTACTCTCCTTTAGAAGCTGACTGTCTTTAACAGGCACTAAGCCAACTTCATTGAGGACTTGTTCCTTGCAGGCCACTTCGCTCTGTATGTTGGGCTTTTCCTTTTTACTGTCTTTTCGGGGAGATTTTCTGGGGATTGGCTCCATGTGAAGGGGAGGCTGTACCGGAGGTGGCAGCTCCATGTGCCCAGGCTCCACATGTGCGGGCTCTGGAGGAGGCACTGGTTCCTGCACGACCTCCATGGGGGCTGGCTCCACAGGCAGAGAACCTGCCTCAACAGCCTCCAAGGGAGCAGTGGGCGCCTCCCGGGCAGCTGGTGGCTCAGCCTGTGCCTGCACAAGCGCCCCTTGCACAACCTCCCCAGCAGGTGAAGGCCCCTCCTCAGCAGCCTGGCTGGGCGCCGTCTGCACAGGCCCCAAAGGCAGCTTGGCCTGCACAGGCCCCTTGGCAGCTGCCTCCTTCTGAGCAGGTTTGCTGCCTCTCTTACTTGATTTATTTTTCAGAGCTTTCTTCTTTGTATTCTTCTTCACACAGGTATTTTGCTTTCTATTTTCCTCTGCTTTGCTGTTACCCCTTGGCACCTCCTGACCATTTCTGGACTTGCTTCCTACTTTCTTCTTTTTTGTTACAGGTTCTTCCTCATTCACAGGATCCTGCGAGGATTGCGCTTCAGCTTCCAGCTTCCTTTTGCTTTTCTTGGTTTTACAGGGTTTTTCTGAATTATGTCCTGTGTGCGCCTCCATCTCTTTTGTCTCTGCAGCGGATTTCCGAGTTCTGGTAGTCACCTGGATCACTGAGACATCACTACAAGGCTTTTTCTCTTTTGAAACATCTTTTTTCTCCGCTTTTACAGATTTCTCATTTTTCTTCCCAGCCACATCCCCCTTTGTTTTTGTCTGTTCCGTTTCTGTTTTTGCACTAGTAACATTAGTATCAGGCAAGTCAACCTCTCGCTTTTTGGTTTTCTTTAGTTTCACTTTTGAGACATCCATTGTTTTATTAGGACAAGTAGGGTGCTTGGATTTGAAATGATACTGGAGATTACACTTCTTAGAAGCAGCATAGTCGCATACAGGGCAATTGAACTGCCGTGGGTTAACATGGAGCTCTACATGTTTTTTGAAATTGCTTCTATCTGCTGTTTTGTAGTCACAGTGAGGGCAGTTAAGAGGTTTAGGACCATTGTGAACCTGTCTTGCATGGCGAGTTACTTCATGCTGATTAGAGGCCACATAACTGCACTGATCACATTTAAATGGCTTCTCACCTAAAGGTAAACAACAAGTATTAGAAGACATAGATTAAAGACATCAAGTTTTAATGTACTTATAAGGAATTGTATATAGGAAATAACCACAAAGACTATCATGCACCTTGTATTTACCATATTTATTTGTATATCTTTTCTCTGCCCCTTGACACTGACTCTCAGACCAAGCAGTGATCATCTCAGTCAACCATCATTTTCAAAAAAATTCAAGTTAGGGTTCTCAAACACAAAGAATAGAAATTTATCAAGTATAAAACTTTTTGACACAGTTCAGATGGGCTCTGGAAGTGAATTTGTAGACAAGGTCACTTAGAAAAAATAATTTAAAATTTTTCATGTTTAGGTACAGAAAAAAAAAGTCCATTGAGTAGAATATAAAAGTTTCAGCTGGACATGGTGACACACACACCTGTAGTCTCAGCATTCAGTGGAGGTAGGAGGATGGCCACAAGTTTGAAGCTAAACCTGAGCTCAAAGCTAGCCTAAACTACATAGTGAGACCATGTCTCAAAAAACCAAAAATTAAGGCCAGGAATTTAGCTCAGTGGTGCCACCGCCTGCCTTGAAAACACAGTCTTGAGTTTGATCTCCCATACCAGAAATAAATAAATAAATAAATGCATACATACTAAATAAAAGTTCCATACATATCTTGCGAAAAATATCTTTTACTATGGGCTATACTTCATGCCCTAGGTATAAGTTTTAAAACTGATTTGGTGTGAGGGAGCAAAAGGAAGCAAAAGCTTTTTCTTGAAATATAACCCTTTTTTCCAATGCCAATGTTGCTATGCTATTTTAAAGCCAAAATATAGCCAAGGTAATTATTCAGAAAACTTTGTAATTTTTTTCACCCTCTAATCTTCTCTATAAAATGGGCAAAGAAACAAGGGTGAGAAGTGACATACAAATAGATATGATATGTAACATAAGCAAACAGTCATAATCACAGGTACATACAAAACCAGACCACACCACCCCCAAGCCAAAGGCATAAGAATACATAGTCTACCTGATACATACCCATCTAGATCACACTCTAGTACATATTACCAAACGGTATCCATACCCCACTGGTCCAATGGAATGCATAGTAGAGAAATGGAAATTGACATTTATGAAAATTCGTCTCACACACTCTCAAATTCATATAAAAGCTTTAATTAAAGTTTTTCATAAAGCAAATTGAGGCACAAAACAAAACCACAGATGCTAATCTTAATGTGACTAGCAAATGTGTAACAATAACCTACTAAATCACTTAACCAGAATAAGTCAGATCAAGTGTGTAGCTAATACTAACAGCTCCTTTGCATGCTAGATGGGTAGTTTCTACCCCACAAGACATTACTCCACACGTGGTCTTCCATGTCCTCTGCAGTGAGTGCTCCAAGGTGGGAGACAAACACTTGCACAGGACACACAGGCACAGGATGGAGAAGACAGCTGGCCCAGGGGCGAAACTGAGTTAGAGCTTCTGGAAAGCGAGCCATGGGCTCTGCAATCAGCACACAGCACAGAGACTTGGAGCATGACATTAAAACTTCTCTGGGGCTCAATGTCTTTAATAATAAAATACTCTCCAAATACTGGAAACCATAAATAATCTGATGGTCCCTGTTAACCATTTAACAGTTTACCCTGAGTGTCACTCATCACTCAGGCAGCACATTTGTTTCTGTACTGAGCCACAATTGGGCAGGTGACATTCAACCAGTTGATTCTTATATTGAATAAATCTGATAGAAATTGTTGTGTTTATATTTCCTGTTGTATTATCATATAAAAGTCACCAAAAAAATAATGCAATATTTGGTCATCCTGGTTTTTTTGTTTTGGGGTTTTTTTGTTTGTTTGTTTTGTTTTGTTTTGAGACAGGGTCTCACTACGTAGTTGAGACTGACCTGGAACTCACTACGTAGCCCAGGCTGCTTCCAAACTCACAGCGATCCTCCCGCCTCAGCCTCCCAAGTGCTGGGATTACAGGCATATGCCACCACGCCTGGCAGTCATCCTGTATTTAAATAACTGGACTAGTAAGTGGTTCAGCAGCTGACACGAAGTACAGAGGAAGTGTTCAATATGCTTGACCCATAACAGCTCACTTTTGGAAGCAACTGCTAACTTTTATTGTGAGTAGATAAAAGGTAATAGCTGGGCAAAGCATTACATGCCTGTAATCTCAGCCACTCAGAAGGCTGAGAGAGACCAGCCTGGGCTATTCAGGGAGCCTGGGGCCAGCCTGGGAACCTTAGTGAGACCCTAACTCAAAAACAGATTTAAAAAACGTTAGAAGGGCTGGCAGTGTAGCTCAGTGGTAAAGTGCTTGCCCAGTATTTATGCTTTCCTGTAAAAACCCTACCTCAGATTAATAGCTGGTGGATGGAGTTTATCTCTTTCTGAAGATGTGTGCTAGTAAAAGAATTACAGGCACAGTGGTGCATGCCAGTTATATCAGCACTTAAGGAGGCCAAGGCAGGAAGATATCAAGTTCAAGGCCAGCTTGAGTAACTTAGTGAGACATTGCCTAAAAATAAAACAAAACAAAACAAGAAAACAGCAAAGTAAAACAGCTGGGGATGTGTAGTTCAGTGCTAAGAGTGCCCTTGAGTTTGATCTCCAATACTGAAAAATAAGTAAACAAATGAAAGGATGTACACAAGCATTAATCAAGGTATAAGCCTCCACGCCTAAATGGTTGAGAAGACAATGAAGATTTTAATGTTTAAAATTCTAATGGCACAAATGACATGGCCATCAACTGATGAAAAGATTTTTTTTTTATACAATGGACTATTCTCTTGTAAGAAAGGATAAACTTGCCAGGCCTGGTGGCACACACCTATAATCCCAGTACTCGGGAGGCTGAGGCAGGAGGATTACTGTGACTTTGAGAGCAGCCTGGGCTACATTGTGAGTTCCAGGTCAGTCTCAACTACATAGTGAGACCGTGTCTCAAAAAACGAAAGAGGAGAGGGGGGGAGGGGAGGGGAAGGGGAGGGGGAGAATAAACTTGAGGCAAGTCTAGCCAGAAGGATAACCTTGAGACCATACTCTTAAGTGAGATAAATTGGACACAAATGTTTGAATACTGCATTGTCTGTCTGTGTGAGAAAGTGGAAGTGGAAATGAGGACTGAAATGTATAACAGATATTGGGAAATGGGTGTACACCTATAATCCCAAGCACTTTGGGAGGCTAACACAGGAGGATCACAAGTCCAAACCCAGGGACGTAGCTCAGTGCAAAGCCACTTTCATATCAGAATGGTAGGAAAAACAGAGAAAAAAGATAGAGAAACATTTAAATAATTACAAGTTAAGTAAAAATACACTTGTGAGCCAGGTGTGGTGACACACACCTATAATTCTATCACTGAGAGTCAGCAAGATCGCCCCAAAAATTCCATTCCGGGTAGCATACCTAGAACTCGGAAATCCTCCTGCTTCAGCCTCTCAATGTTGAGATTACAGGCATGAACCATCACACCTGGCAAAAGTGTCATTTTAACCCAGTGAAGAATCACTAAACAATGGGTCAATTAGATGTGACTTCAACTGGCATACATACCAAAATAAATATCAAGCACATAGAGGTTTAATTTTTCAGTTTACAAGCAATACATGGGACACAAAAGCTAAAGACACTATGAGAAAACAGGTATTCAGAAGGGAGGACATAAGGACCCGAGTTCGATCCCCGGTGGGGGCGGGGGGCATTGTACAGGACAAATGGCCATATATTTTTTTCCAGTACCAGGAATCAAACTTGGGATCTTGCACCAGGCAACAGAACTACTGAGCTAAATCTCCAGCCATATTTCTTCAATGCCTCAGTATTCCCAAAGATAGGGCTGGGACTAAATACAATTTACACAACATATGACAGCTGCAAAGACTAAAAGAGCTACCTTATAAAAAGTTCTTAAATGTCATACTAAAGGACTAGGGGGCCGGGGATTTAGCTCAGTGGTTCCGCCGCCTGCCTCACAAGCTCAAAGACCCAAGTTTGATCCCCAGTACCAAAAAAAATAAAAATAAAGGGCTAGAATACTGCTAACAGGATTTAAAAAAAAAAAAAAAAAAAACCCTACCATTAACAAAGGCTAGCCTAGCCAGGCATGCTAACCCACACCTGTAATCCAGCACTCTGGGAAGCTGAAGCAGGAAGAACTCAAATTTAACCCCAGCCTAAGCAAACTGAGGCACTGTCTCAAAAAATAAGGCTCAGCATAAAGATCTTGGGCTTACTCCCCAATACCAAAAACAAAGCCAGATGTGGTTGCACATGCCTGTAATCATAACACCCAACAGGCTCAGTCAGGAGGACCACCTGAAGTTCAAGGCCAGCCAGAACTAAGTAGTGAAACCCTGTATCAAAAGACAACCAAAGGGCTGAGGATTTAGCTCAGTGGTGCTGTCGCCTCTCTTGCAAGCACAAGGTCCCAAGTTCGATCCCCAGTACCACAAAAACAAAACAAAACAATAGACAACCAAGTTACCAAAGGAGAATGAAATCAAGAAAAATGTGGCAGAGCTCAATAGCTAAGGAGATTTAGAAGGATCGCTCAGCCTACATTAACATGACAGATACGCAGGGTCAACCAGCAAACACTAACAGAGAACTGGGGACTGACTGGTACAGAGGCAGACCATGCATCAAGCACTGAGTTCAATCCTCGGCATAAAAAAATTTTTAAAAACTAAGGAGTATCTTGACAGCTGCTCAGTATAATTAAATATGCAATTTTCTAGTAGATATATTACGAAAGTAAAAAACAGGCAAAAATGTAGTGATTTTTAACCTAATACATTCGATATTTTCAGCATGTAGTCAGTATTTTTAAAATAGGTATTTTACTTTCTTTTCTTCCTAGTGTTTGGAATCCAGTATATACTTAATAGGTCTCAATTCAAACCTCCACGGTGTACAATTCAATGGCCACAGGCAGCCAGTGGCCACACCTGGCTGGACTGCAAAGATCTTCAGTAACTTGAAGGTACATCTACAGTGAATTCACAAAGAGCAGGAATGAAGCATACTTTCCACACAAAAATACCCATCCTCCATCTAGAAAGAGTATTCTGATGATGGGCCAGGGATTTAGCTCAGTGGCACTGTGCCTGTCTCACAAGTGTAAGGTCCTGAGTTCAAATTGCTGGTATGGAAAAAAAACTTATTCTGGTCAGAAGCAGTTCACCAAGGATCCCTTAGGACAAAAATACTGACCTGTTCAAGGCCATATAAATAGACTGGGGATGTATCTCATAGGCCCATCACTTCCTTACCAGGTTCAGGGCCATGGGTTCAACCCTCAGAACTCTGCGGGGGCGGGGATTATCTAAGCTAACCTCTACCTTTTGTGGGCTGCTAGGCATGAGGTCTGACCTGCGAACAGAGCCCCAGAGATGGGGACAGGGAAACAATGAGGACCATCACTGCTACAGCTCCCGGGGTTTTCTCTACAGTACTGCACTTTGTCTCTGAGTAAACTGGTCTTCTGGAATATGTATCACTTTCTTTAAATTCAGCTTTTATAAATCAGTGCTCAATATCCCCACCAAGTTAGAACAAACCCAAAATTTTAAAACTGAGGAAGAATCCTTAAAACCAGCAAACACATACTATGAAACTCAGTGTTCTACTGTTAAGAGGAATGTGAGAAAGCAGACACTGAAAAACAGATATGGGCGTGGTGGTGCGCCCTGCAATCCCTGCACTTGAGAGGCAGAGGCAGGAAGACTACACTGAGTCCAAGACTAGCATGAAAAAGGGAGACGCTGTCCCAAAAATTTCTTTCATAAAGGCAGTAGGGCAGGGACCGGGGATTTAGCTAAGTGGTTCTGCCACCTACCTCGCAAGTTCCCCATACCAAAAAAAAAAGACATACATAAAAAGGCAGAGGACGTAGAATACCGTGCGACAAGTGGGTGGATGCACACACTGGCCTTATCCATGTGTGCCTCGGGCTATGTGACTTCTCCGGGAGTCAGGGAACTCTTAAACAGTCTCCATCTCTATACCACTCTATTACTGAACTCTGATTATTTCCACTGTGATTCCTAAGTTATTTCAAGGACAGGCCATAAATGAAAGACTTGGTTCTTTGCTCAGCCTAAGCTCACTCTGCAGAGCTTATTCTATATTCTATATTATTCTATATTCTTATTTCTATATTCTCAAATAAATTTTGCCACTGCCAAAAGAAAGAAGGAAAGAAAGATAGATTGATTTGGTTCCAGGTCTAAAGTCTTTTTATATAACTATAACAAAAAAGAAAAAGAACACAAATTTAGTAAAAAATAAAAATGACAGTTTACTGGAAATGGTAGAAAAGGTCCCATAAATTACCAACCTGAATGAGTGCGCATATGTCTAGTTAGATGAGTCTTCTGAGAACTTGAATAAGGACAAAGTTCACATTTATATGGGCGTTCTCCTGTAAAATTGTAACAAATAGCATTTAAATGCCAAAATAAAGCCAAAAGCAATTCCCACCAATAGACAACATTTAGCACTGCACACTTTTTAACACAGATTTTCCTACTCCTTACAGAACAATTTTAAACACATTAGAAACATTATTTCAGAATTTACGTAACTACATTATTTAAACTTTGCTGACAAAAAAATTGCCACTGGCATCCTTAATTCTCACAGCCATCTTGATTTTTTTTCCTTTTTTGAAGACAGGGTCTCACTATACATAGTTCAGTTTGGCCTTGAATGCACACCAATCTCATGCCTCAGCCTGAGTGCTAAGATTACAGGTGTGTACTACCACACCCAGCCATCTTAGCTTTCAATTTTACATGTTGAACTGAAATACCATCTTGGTAAAGTATCACAGAGTATGTTTTTTAACTTAACTAGAATTATCCTTTAAAAATATCTTGGCTGGTTAGCCAGGAGTGGTGGCACACACCTGTAATCCCAGCATTTGGGAGGCTGAAGGCTGAGTGAGGCAGGAGGATCGCTGTGAGTTCGAGACCAGCCTGGGCTACATAGTGAGTTCCAGGTCATTTTCAGCTACATAGTGAGACCCTGTCTCAAAAAAAACAAAAAAAATTAAAAACTAAAAAAAATCTTGGCTGGGACCGGGGATTTAGCTCAGAGGTTCCACTGCCTGCCTCGCAAGCCCAAGGACCTGAGTTCGATCCCTGGTATAAAAAAGAAAAAAAAGAATCCTGGCTGGTGGCTGGACATGTAACTGAGTGGTAGAATTCTTCCCCAGCATGTATGCGGCCTTAGGGTTCAATCTCCAGTACAAGGAAGCATTTGGATGGGTGTACACTCAATGGTCAAGTACATGCTGGGCACACTAATTAGCCTTGGGCTCAACCCCAGCACAGTAGTGTGTATGCGGCCTTAGGGTTCAATCTCCAGTACAAGGAAGCATTTGGATGGGTGTACACTCAATGGTCAAGTACATGCTGGGCACACTAATTAGCCTTGGGCTCAACCCCAGCACAAGACAGGCAGACAGACAGACCCAAATTTTGATGCTACCGGGTAGCAAATTTTCTGATCCTTAAAAAGGGTCATTCTTGGGCCAGGCATGATCGGCCTTAGGGTTCAATCTCCAGTACAAGGAAGCATTTGGATGGGTGTACACTCAATGGTCAAGTACATGCTGGGCACACTAATTAGCCTTGGGCTCAACCCCAGCACAAGACAGGCAGACAGACAGACCCAAATTTTGATGCTACCGGGTAGCAAATTTTCTGATCCTTAAAAAGGGTCATTCTTGGGCCAGGCATGATGGCACGTGCCTGTAATACCAGCACTCAGGAGGATCGCTGTGAGTTCGACACCAGGCTGGGATACATAGTGAGTTCCAGGTCAGTCTCAACTACATAGTGAGGCCCTGCCAGAAAGGAAAGAAAGAAAAGAAAGAAAGAAAGGGAGGGAGGGAGGGTCATTCTGCCATCTGAAATGTCAGATTAAACTAACAACACTTAAGTACCCATGTTGCTGCTTTCAACTAAAAATACTCCTGGTAGCCAAGCTCAGTGGTGCAAGCCTGCAATCCTAGCACTCAGGAGGCTGAGGCAGAACTGTGAATTGGAGGCCAGTCTGGGGTACACAGCAAATTATAGGGCAGACTGGGAAATACAGTAGGACCCTGGCTCAAAAATGATTTCAAGAGCTGGGGATGTAGCTCAGTGTGCAAAGGTCTTGGGTTCAATCAAGGAAAAAAAAAAACTAGACAACTGTTTTGATCTAGTCTTTGGCCACAAGACAGTAATATTGATTTTGGCAAAATTACCAAGAGTCCAGTACAATCACTTATCAAAAGAACACAGTACAATGTGAATTTCCTATTATGGGAATTTAAAGATCTTTTTTTGGGGGGGGTACCAGGGTTAGAACTTAGTTCCTTGCACTTTCGAGACAGGTGCCCAGAACCAATAAGCTAAATCCCAGGCTATGGGAATTTAAATAAGACAATACAGGCTGGGTGTGGTGGTACCCACAAGAAATCCTAGCACTGAGGCAGGAGAAAGTTTGAGCACAACCTGAGCAACTGTATCTCAAAAAATAATAAAAAGGTTGGACATGCAGCTCAGCTGACTAGAGGCTGAGGCAGGAGGATGGCAAATTCCAGCTCAGCTTGGACAAGTTAAATTAGTTGAAGCCGGGCTTGTTGGCACACACCTGTAATGTAATCCCAGCACTCTGGAGGATCGCTGTGAGTTCGAGACCAGCCTGGGCTATACAGGTCAGTCTCAACTATATAGTAGGACCCTGTCTCAAAATAAATAAATAAAATTTAGATAGATAGATAGATAGATAGATAGATAGAAAGAAAATAAATAAATAAAATTTAGATAGTTGAAACTGTCTCCAAAAAGCAAAAGATAGGTAATAGCACTCAGTGGTATAACACTAGCCTAGCATGCAGGAGACTGGAGATTCAATTCTCAGCACCTCCAAAAAAAAAAAAAAATTTTTCTTCTCAGTGCTGCGGACCAAAACCAAACCTCAAGCATGCTAAACTGAGGCTGTGCTTACCTGGCTCCTAACCTGGGACAAGAGCCGTACTTACAGACTAGGAAGGTCCTCTGAACCTGGGAGTGCGGTTAAAGGATAACTAACTATGTCTAAAAGTCTCCTTTCCCACTTGGTAGGTTTGCTTTCTTGGAAAACGTTTTCAGTTGGTGGTAACACACTTATTTTTTAAAAACTCACTTTTCTCGTTTTGGGAAAAATGACAAGTTGTTTCATTTAGGAACTCAGCACCACAAAAGTAAAAGGTTTTTAAGTGGAAGGTTTTGATTAAATGGAACTATGCAAGATCCATCATGGAGTTTTCCTTTTTTGTCAAAGCCAGTAATTCCTTTAGAAACTACATCTTACCTGTGTTCACTGTCACTTAAACACAACCCCTAGATAACCACCCTAGGTTGTTAGAGTACGTACTTCGGGATGGGTACTGTTAAGATTTCTGAGATATTCTTCCCAAATATCATTCAGTGCTCTACAGGTACTTTTAACCCTTCAGCCATACACATACACATGCAGAATGAACAGAGCATGTGGTGAATGCTTAATTTTAAAAATTGTTATTACAGTAAAAGACAGTGTCATTAATTTCCCCAAAATACTCCTCACTTTCACTTATTCCATCATTCTTACAAATGGTAGCTTATAAAAACATTACTGCATACTGTCATCCAGCTTATTCACAGATCTGACACCAGCAGAATTCTGGCTCTTTCCCCAAGTCAAAATGACCAGGAAAGGCCAGGTGTGGTGGCACTCCGGGAAGCTAACACAGGAGGACTGCAAATTCAACCAAGATCTGGGGTCTCAAAATAGGAAGTTTTGTTAAAGCATGGAGAGTTCCACTCCCAGTACTTAAAGGTAAGCATCTTGAATCAATTCAGGACATCAAAGCAGCCCTGCCAGCACAAGTAAGGACACTCATGAAATTGGACTTCCAGAACTATTTTAAAAGATGCCATGAGGCGAGGTACAGTGGCCCACTCCTGCAGTCCCAGCCCTCGTGAGGCTGAGGCAGTGAGCTCAAGGCTAACCTGGACTACACAGTGAGACCTCATGTCAAAACACAAGTTGAAAGAAAGTGCTAAGGGGCCGAGGATTTAGCTCAGTAGTTCCACCGCCTGCCTTGAAAGCACAAGGTCCTGAGTTCAATCCCCAGTACCAAAAACAAAACCAGAAGTGCCAAGAACTCTCCAAGATGAATGTAATTATTATGCATCTCAAACTTTTTTTTTTTTTTGGTACTAGGGATCGAACTTGGGTCTTTGTGCTTGTGAGGCAGAAGCCAGAACCACAGAGCTAAATCGCCCACCCTCAAACATTTTTATTAATGCAAAAAAGCAGCCAGTCATGGTGGCCCACACCAGTGCTCCAGGCTGAGGCGAGGCAGCCAGCTCAAGACCAGCACAAATGACATGACAGTGAGCCTGCCTCAAAAAACAAACAAAACTTTAAAAATCAGAAAGTAATGAAGTGGCAGCAAGGATGGGATAAGGGTGTCTGAAACAAGGGTAAATAATTTGTGCAGCAAAATATGCCAATGTCTTTTAGACTAATAAACTAAGATTTAAACATTCACCGTATTTTCTTGTCACACCTTGTATTTTTACCCGTGAAGAAAACAGGGCATGAAAATTAAATAATTTGTCCAAGGTCACAAAGAAAGCAAATAATGGATCCTAGATTTGAACCCAGGTCCCCTTTGTCAAATACTATTTAGGACCCACTCAATTAGCAAATGTGTGTGGTGAACCATGCACACCTGCAATCATAGTACTCAGGAGGCTGAGGCAGGGGGATTGTTGCAAATTCAAGGCCAAAGTCAGATTGAAATACAAAGGCAGGGGATTTAGCTCAGTGGTTCCACCACCTGCCTCAGAAGCCCAAAGTCAAGTTCAATCCCAGGTACCCCCCCAAAAAAAACCCTATCTCCAAAAATAAAAATTTAAAAGGGCTGGAAATATAGCTCAGTTTGAAGGCCCTGAGTTCAATCCCCAGCACTGCCAGTCAATTAAAAAAGACAAGTAGGGTTGACCTGGAGGACAAGGCTTCTCTTACCTGTGTGAGTGCGGACATGCTGGACGTAATTGTTCTTTCTGTCTGAAAAGTAGTTGCACTTGCCACAAGTGTACACTTTCCTAGGGAAGTGATTCCTCAGGTGTTTCCTCCAGTGGTACTCGCTGACGGTGGTGTACGTGCAAATGATGCACTTGTACACTCGCTCGTTATCCCCAGCTCTGCTGTGGTGCTTCAGGTGAGCGGTGTAATGATCATACCGATTGGTGTTATAGCCACAGCGATCACAGCGGATGGGGCCCTTTGAGAAATCTCCCTCCTCAGCAGCAGAAGCACCAGACTCCCTGGCTTTGGCTTGCTTCTCTGCACTTTCTTCCACAAAAAACTTCTTGGCACTGTGAACTCTGATGTGATGCACAAACTGTTCCTCGGATTCTGCTTCATACTGGCACGGTTTACAGCGAAACGGTTTGGTCTTCAAGTTCTTGCATTTGTCCTCTGTTCCAGGTGTTTCAGGAGGAAGATCTTTATTTGAGCTGTAAATCTCAGGGGCAGCTGACGCCTCAAATACAGGCTGTGGCTCTACAACACTGAGCTCCAGATTCCTCAGTTCCACGTTCTCCAGTCCAGTAGGTACACCCTTCACTTCAGAAGACTCCTCCAGTCCTTCTCCATCACTATCTGAGAAGTTGTTATCCCCAACAGGCATCAATTCTGCCATCTGCCTTTCTTCACCAACTAGGTAATCACAGCAGCTGCCATTTACTTCCCCCGTTAGGGCCACATTGGCCAACATGATGAGCTGAGGGGCAGCCAGTTCAGCTTTGGAGAGGTCGTGCAGGTCATACATGTCGTTAGGCAGGGCCATGCCCATGTTGCTACTGCTGGTGAACAGCCCGGCTCCTCCAGACGCCTGCCCCATCACCTGGGTGGCCATTGTAGTCTGAATTGAGAGCAAACAAAAGGAGAACAAGAGAGAGCACCTTAAACACAACTCAACCTAAAATCAGAGCGTCACTCCAATTCTTCATAACCTAAAAAGAAAAATGCATTTTAAACATAACCATTACAACTCATTGAATTTCATTTATTAAAAACAAACCTTTAGACTATTTTTTGTTCGGCTGGGGATATAGCTCAGCAGGAGAACATTTGCCCCGCAAAGAAATATTTTTAATTCCTAATTTTTTATACTAGTCACCAAAAGTGAGACAAACGTTTCTCTATCCAAAAAAAATTATCATTTGCTCGACATAACTCACCTACTTCTATCAGCAACATGCATGTATATCAAACACCTTTTTCTGCTGCAAAACACAAACAAGAAATTCTGCATTTTTAATGATGATTTGTTACTTTAAAAACCCAATATAGGAATAGTAAACTGTCTCCTCAGTTCTCCCCTTCAGCAGTTCAAAGATCTGCATCAGCAATCCAAGAAATTTACAATCATCTGTGCATATATTAACTACACTTGGGTAGGTAAGGAAGCCTATAACTGGTCAATTTAATTAAATTTTACGGGAACTCAATGTACTCCAAAAGAATAAAGTACAGTGAAAGCTACCTCTTAAGTCTCAATTTTTTGATGTTTCAAAACATAAAAAGGCAAAATAAAAACTATGGATTCCCCTTTCCTGTGCAACAGGAAGTTTATTCGAAACTTCACTAACTAATGCAAACAATCCCCTGCCCCAATCCCTTAATAAAATGATCTTACATCTCGGCGGGGCAGTCTGCAACTTTCTTGCACTATGCTTGACTTGGCCTACTTGCCTAGTGGAAGCCATTACAAGATCACCTTCTTGAAATCAAGTTGGGTTTTAAATGGCCTGAAACACGTTCCCTTCCAGTCTGAAAAGGTGCTGCTCTCCCTCCCACTAACTCCTGTCCTCTCGTAAACGACAAAGAAGCAAAATACTGAAACAAAGTTAAGCCGAAAATTAAAAAAATAAATCCGTTTCACCCCAGGGTACAAACCCGTTTAGTTCTCTGTACCAACAAAGTTGGAACCGAATGCCATCACAGGATACCGAGCGAAAGCTGTCCTGCGGCTCCACAGCCCGACCACTGGCCCACTCACCGCGATCTCCCTTTCCGAGCGCGGCCACCCACCCGCCACCTCCCTGCAGACGAAA